TGTTGCAGACTGACTTTTTTCTCGCTGTGATTAGGTGACGTCTGTCTGTGAAGTAAGATTTGTCAGCAGTATGGAGGTCTACTGGTCGTTGACAAAGTCTTCACCTAAGTTAATGATGCGTCTCAGTGCGCTCAGTATCAGTGTATCAGTGTCATTGTCTGTGTCGATCTCTGAGTGGTAGTTCTTCACAGGAAAGATGCAGTACTTTGGAATATCCAGCGTCTCACTCAGTTCCTCCATCTAAATATGAACATTCAACATTTAAGGAATGACAGCAAAGAGCTGATCAAAGGAGATTTTTGTGTAATGTAATGTAAAACAGAATTATATTCCAACTTGAATAACAACTCTCTACAAGGTCAATCACCAAGAGAAACTTACCAGTTTCTTCAGGTACTTGCTCTTATACACGTTCTTAATGTCTTTTTTGACCTCTGGACAGACTTTGTCAATTTTGGTGAGAATAGCCACTTCAGGAATTCCTGCCGATACAGAGCAGAATCCAGTTTAATCAAGATAATGTTTGTCAGGTTATTGGATTAAACTTATGAAACCCAATAACTAACCGTATAACTCTTACCCATGTCTCTGGCTGCCAGTCTGACATCCCTCATCTTTCTCACATGTTCATCACTCAGGATGTTTGATGTCTCAGCAGAGACGACACAAACCAGAACATGAACTTGATCCTTCAGAGCGGGGTCTTTGTTGTAGTCTGGATCAGTCTCTGATATTTTAGAGAGAGGATTGAACTGGAAAAGAATGTGAAATTAATTTTTTTTTTTTTTTTAAAATGACCTTTGCATGTAAATAGTTTCTACTTTATGATTTTTGTGAAGTGTTTAAAAGTTTAAAAAGAGTTGAATGAATTCAGTATATTTTACAGTGTATCCATCTTTAATGTGTCCCATCATGGCCAGTTTGATGTCTTCCACATTTGCTCCCGTATTGGTTTCCCTATCAAGGCCCATGATGTCAGTGAAGGCAAAAGGGTAAAACGTCTCTGGTCCTCTTTTTTGGATTTTGTAACTTTTGTACTGTAAAACAGAAAAGTGCAGTTATAAGGACAACAGTGCCACCTATTGAGTGATGGCCATATAGCAGTTTGTGTCTTGCTCATCAGTTTCATCACAACTTGCTGCAACACTGCTGCTGCCTGATCTGTACAAAAAGTAATACATGCTACATGCTAGAAAACTTTCTGCACACTGATGCCCACTGAACACAGCTGGTGACCTTTTTAATTTTTTTGGCCCTGCCCCTCAGACAGCTTCAGTCCCCTAGTGACTGCAGTTGTCACTGCAGGTGCATGCAAGAGTTGTTCAAGTTTTACAGTGCTTAAAATACATGACCTTGATTAAACCACATTTAAAAGTGATTCATACTTTTAGGGTGAAGCTGTGGTGAGAGATTGCATCTGCCAAAGCTCGTCCAGTGATTCTGCCTTGTAAAGTGCTGTCAACAGAGTTGATGAAGCTGGACTTGCCAGAACCAGAGGGTCCATGAAGCAGAATTCTGAGCTGCTGGACCTCATCGTTATGAGGCTGATAACCATTCACAACCTGCAGGTCTCTGTCTTTGTTACTGTTCAATAAAGAAAAGGTTAGATGAGATTTTAGATTTAAGATAAGATAATACTTTATTACTACCATGGCAGGGAAATTTGCATTGTTACAGCTGCAAAGGGGACAGTGCAAAAGAAGCAGCATCAGTATAAAAAACAAAAAACAAAACAATGTACAAGAAATGAGTAAACAGGAAAAGGGCAAAACATAATAAATAGGTAGACTGAATGGCTGAGTTCACACTGTTGCAACATTATTGCAAGCAGGAAGTATAGATATTGAATAGTTTAGTATATACTGATATTGCACATGTGTGGTGATTGTCAGTTTTGGTTTGTGCATACTACTGGAAACAGTGTTGGTTGTGAAGTCTGACAGCAGCAGAGAGGCAGGAGTTACAATATCTCTTCTTCACACACTGCAGGTGAAGCAGCCTGTCACTAAAGGAGCTGCCCAGTGCTGTCAGAGTGTCCTGCATAGGGTGGGACATGTTCTCCCAAAGAGATAATAGGTTAACCACCTTTCTCCTTTCTCTGACCACCTCAACTGAACATGCCATCACAGAATGACAAAACAAAAGGTAGTCTCAACAAATGAGTGTTTGCAGTTGTCCAATTTTGGTCTTAAAAATAGTTTGTTGAAGAAAAGCCATTGTACACCAGAGGCACCAAAACATTAAACCCATCACTCACCCCCATGGTATGTTCCTCCATTGTTCATCAAAAGCTGACAAGTAAAGAGCAAGTGTAATGTTTATGTAATACAAATACAAATACATATGTACATACATACATACATACAACATTTTCTGTACATTTTAACACAAATGAAGAATCTCTAATTTTCTATCTGTACATAAGTTTAAACAATGTTCTGTAATATTCTGAGTAGCTTACTCTCAGGAGAAGGTGGGCGGCGTTCAGATTTCTTGAATGTATTCCCCATGGCTACAACAATACGCTAGGCAACATGTAAAAAAAAAAAAAAAAAAAGAAACATTTTTCCACCTTATTACCTAAAACCAAACCAAATGTCAACAAAAATTTTGAGAGTTAGTATTTCACATTTATTTGTACGTTCAGACTCAATGTGCTGCATGAGCACACTATCTATTATTTATGACTATTTTTAATTCTAAATGAAATAGCAAAAAATATACAATAAATCAAATGTTAAAGAAGAGAAATTGACAGTAAAAAAGTTAAGAAAAGTTTAATCTAACATTTAGCAGTATAAATGTAATTTCAAATATTCTTATCTCGGCGGTTATGCTGTGGTGGTGATGGTTTACTTCAAGTTATGCTTCTGAAACTAGTAAAATAAAATAAAAACTAGAAAAAAGTAAAAGTGAAAGGGTAAACTAACAAAATATGAAAACGTTCACAGGCATTTTTCACCTTTACTTCATCAAAATAAAGATAGAAACAAAATGAAATTGACCTACTCCATGCTTTTACTGATACAGTACTTACATTCAGTAATATAAGAGCACTGGGTAAACAGCTATCAGACTAATATAGTTGAGATGGCTGCACTTATATTTTCTTGTTCTTTGTTGAACTTTTCCACCCTAATAACTTCTTTTTTTTTACATTTACCAGTGTAAGTATCTTAAAAGG